ATGTTTACATTGCCCCTGGCCGAAATGCTGGTGGTAGGCAAGAAAATATCCCAGGATAGGCCAATTGCACGTAAAATCAGAAAACTTTCTTTTTGTTCTGCCAAATATACGAAAGCTACACAAAGCTCAGTCTGTCCGTGGCCCAATGGACAAATAGTAAAATAGTACAGCAATTTGGCCTAAGATTTTTCATAATGTATGCAATCCATTCGACTGTCTTAATATTACTATAATGTTTAAGAAACGTTGCTGTAATGATTACTTGCCGAGTAATTATTCCATTTATTCAAAAAAATGCAAAATGCTTGTCAAAGTTAGCGTAGTGTCACTGAGTGGCAAACATCTAGTGGCAAACATCTATGCTGTTGGCCTATCCTAGGATATTTTCTTGCCGCCAACTTTTCAGCCCGGGCCAATGTAAACATTGAAAGGGGTCTATTGCTACAGAAAAGGGACAAGAGGGTATACTGCAATCCAGCTGCACAAAAAATTAAAAAAAATGGATCAAAATCTGAATCTGATGTAAGCTAATATGTATAATAAATGATGTTAATAACAATAATAGTGACTATGAGGATGATAAGGAAAATGATGATGATGATGATGATGTTGATGCAATGATGATTTTTAGTGTAGTAGAAAGAAATGAAGGATTGTGATCTCTCTGATTAAAAAGTATCCTGATGTTCATGCTCAATATTTTTATTGTGACAAAATTGGTACAGTTTATATCGCTTGATTTTACCTGTTATGAAATGGGTTAACCCAACTAATGCCTGTCTCTTATACACATCTAGATGTGTATAAGAGACAGGTACGTGTGTGCCCAGGACTTAGCTAGGCGTGAAGTTGAATATTAATTTCAGTTGTAAAAAAAAAATAAATTTATATGTGTTTATAGATGTAAAGATTTATCAGTATAAGGCGAAATTGCTAGTGTAACTGAATTTAGACATTCCTAAACATGAACAACGTTGTTACATAAGACTGAAATTTGATTTTTTTTTTTTTTTTTTTTTTGTTCCACGCAAAAAATAGACGCGGATGAAGTTGTTAATGTTTGATTTTGATAGGTCTACGAAGAAGTATAGTAGGTGCCGGAAACATTAACCTATCAACACTGCTAGGCGGTCTAGCAGGTCTAGGCCTAGCCTTACCTCCATTCAGGTTCTGTTATCAGACATAAAAACGGCCGTTAGATATTTTCCGTTGCTAGTATTGACACTTGTGAAATATAATATTTCATTGGAATATTATTCAAATTTGTTAAAAAAAAAGATTCTCTGAACGAGATTTTGACAAGTAAACAAACATATCTGAGGCCTACTCGATTGATCGCAGTGTGCGAGCTACAAAACTAACCTCATTAGAGAGGGGGTGGGTGCACTTTATTGACTGTGTAAAGTATACACAAAAGCGAGATCATTCCAGCGGATGTATTCTACAACCTCTAAATTTGCCTATTAATGTAGAAGTCGTCGAGAAAATGGTAATTTCTAGATGAGAAAAATCTAAATTTTATGCCAATATCTTTCCATGGTTTATAGTAATTATTGGAGTTAAGTGCATATGCATTTTTTCTAAAAAAAAAATCTTTTTTAGTTATTTTGTCAGGAAGAGGGCTTTAATATTTCATGTTTAATGTGGCATCGTCAGTAAAACAAATCAAAAATTTTCAGATAAGATGCCGTTTATGCCTTAACTAATAATACAGTTCCAGGATGGATTAAACTCATACTTTTCAGCAAACCTAAGCAAATTTAAAGGTTTGTGTAGGCCTAGGTTTCATTGTTTAGTTAATCTGGGAGTTGTCATTTTAACTACCTGGTTTAGTTTTTACAAACTAAAAAGAAATGAAGGATAATGAGGATGATGAACATGACGATGTATGATTATGAGTATGATGGTGAGGATGATCCTGAATACAGTAGACCCCTTTCAATGTTTACATTGCCCCTGGCCGAAATGCTGGTGGTAGGCAAGAAAATATCCCAGGATAGGCCAATTGCACGTAAAATCAGAAAACTTTCTTTTTGTTCTGCCAAATATACGAAAGCTACACAAAGCTCAGTTTGTCCGTGGCCCAATGGACGAATAGTAAAATAGTACAGCAATTTGGCCTAAGATTTTTCATGATGTATGCAATCCATTCGACTGTCTTAATATTACTATAATGTTTAAGAAACGTTGCTGTAATGATTACTTGCCGAGTAATTATTCCATTTATTCAAAAAAATGCAAAACGTTTGTCAAAGTTAGCGTAGAGTCACTGAGTGGCAAACATCTAGTGGCAAACATCTATGCTGTTGGCCTATCCTAGGATATTTTCTTGCCGCCAACTTTTCAGCCCGGGCCAATGTAAACATTGAAAGGGGTCTATTGCTACAGAAAAGGGACAAGAGGGTATACTGCAATCCAGCTGCACCAAAAATTAAAAAAAAATGGATCAAAATCTGAATCTGATGTAAGCTAATATGTATAATAAATGATGTTAATAACAATAATAGTGACTATGAGGATGATAAGGAAAACGATGATGATGATGATGATGATGATGTTGATGATGGCTGCAATGATGATTTTTAGTGTAGTAGAAAGAAATAAGGATTGTGATTTCTCTGATTTAAAAGTATCCTGATGTTCATGCTCAATATTTTTATTGTGACAAAATTGGTACAGTTTATATTGCTTGATTTTACCTGTTATGAAATGGGTTAACCCAACTAATGCTGATTGGCTGTTGGATTTTGTTAATTAGATTTCTTCCCAAAGTTATTATTCTGACTGCTGATTGGCTCTAGCCTTATATATTAATTAGAATTAATTAGAAAAGTTGTGAACGAATAGCGACCCTATTTTGAAGGGATGTGAATTTGTTGTGTTCCGTTTTATCCTGTACTTATATGTTGATGGTTGATTTGGTAGGTTCCTATGGAATAAAAGAATCTCAAGGCTATTACACAAGTTAAACCGTGTCCTTATTCTTTATTAGTCAACAGAATATCACCGTTGCCAAACCACACACTGATCCAGGCAAAGAAACGCTATGGTATCTTATGTATGATATTCAATATTTATAATCATTTATATGTGATAGTATCATAATTTTCTGATTTTTCTGACAACTCTTGTTAAGATAAATCTGTATAGTTTATACTAATTTTTTTTCTTGATTAAATTGAACAATAGTGAGGAGAATGTCTGGAAGTTATGTGAAAAGTTACGAGATGAAGGCAGGCTTCAGCAGCTTCAGGATGTTTCTGCTATATTCATTTCGAATGATGCAAAGAAAGTAAGTGTGTAAATGTACACTTCCATGACAATTATACAATTGTGGCCCGAGTCGCTTGTGAGCCATTGATTCTCCCCGAAATTGACACTCTTTCCCACTCCTGCAGGCAGACAATAACAAATATTTTCCGCAAACTAACTAACCTCCCGAAAATTCAGATTACGTTTTTACTGTATATTACAAAACAAGACTTTTTTCGATACCTTGTTTTGCAAACTTATTTTTTTAAAGATAGTTAGAGGTATATAAAATTTTGTTTTCTCATTTAGTCAAATGATTTTGCAAAAACCTTCTAGGCAGAGAAGAAAATAAAAATTAAATTTTATTAATGAATTATTACAGTGCAGTAATGAGATTGATAAATGCTTAAAATTTTGTAATGAATGAAGAAATATATATCTTATTTTTAGAGATTTCAGGGGAGCGGAGGGCGCAATTTATATAATTTATATCAGAATATGTACTTATGTTTTAATGTTCCTGTTTCATGTATTTTTTCTAACTTTTACGAGCTTTGTCAATGCAACAAATTTCCTTTTGGACTAACAAAGTTTTCAGTATTCAGTAATAAAAATAAATATGAAATTTTTAGTATTTAAAAATGAAATTTAAATATTTATTTGCCAGAGGGTGTGCTAATTGGCCAAAAATAAAATTTTATTTTTATTCAAAATCACCATTTTTAGCGGTCTGCGGGTTTGCTTGAAAAGGTATAAACAAGTCTTGCCTAACCGTATATTATTAATTGCCTTTATAATTTCAGCAAACTGGGTTGGTCCGACCAGTGACCATATGCTTTAAAATTACAAAACTAGATTAAATTTTTGTAAAACAATAAATAAGGCCACTGTAACATCAACCTGTATGCTGGAGTGCATTTAACTGGCATTAAATTACTTAAACTACTGTATAAACCAAGCTTGTATTTAATTTATTTTGTTTTCTGAAATTCATGTCCAGTGTATGAACTGTACTATCTCGAAAAGAAGCCTATAAGCTTCTTTCTTAGATAGATCTATCTTGAAACAAAGCCCATGTTCATTTTTGAGATGGCCTTCTTTTTGAGGCTACAGTAATTTGGCAAACTAAAGATGGGGCTTAAATTCAAGATGGGCTTCAACTCGAGATTAAGCACCCTGGGTTTCAATTCAAGGTTTTACAGTATGTTAATAGTCTTGAAGTCCGGTTTCCTGTTTTGTTTATTAAATTGTATTTATAATTATAATTTTATTATCCAAACATCAATATACAGTACTGTACAGTAATTTGTATCAAAATGAAGTATTTTTTTTTGTAATTTTTTCGTGTTTCTTTTAGATACCACTTTGGGAACAAAAGTGTGTTGATGAAGGACAGGTTGTTGTCTGGGTAATTTTTAATTTTGGTTGTTTTTATTAAAATTAGTTTAATAGTGTGAGAGATTTACTTGGTAGCAAACCTGTAGGCAGGATTTTAAAAAGGTGTTGTACACCCACCTTATCCCCACCATAGTTGGGGTAAATTTTAAAGATATAACAAATCAGATGTCCAAAAATGGCAATAAAAATGCCAAAATAAAATATTTGGAGTTAATTTCAACAACATCCATGCAAATGGTACTTAATAATAATAATAATAATAATAATTTAAAAGGGCATTTCTAGAAAAGTTCTTTCAAAGTTCTCAAACCCCCATCCCCAGCTACAGGCTTGAGTTAGGGCTCTTAAAATGCTAAGTTTAGGATTTGACAAAATGCTATTTCAAGCATCTCTGTTGTTGCTGATGGTTGATGGTCAATTACTTGGTTTTCATATTCAGGATTATCACGTGATCTTAGTTCATCAAGAGGCTGGAGCGGAATCACAGGTTTATGACCTTGACACACGACTTCCTTTTCCCTGTAGATTTAAATATTACCTTGAAATGGCACTTAGGACAGAGGACCATATGAAGGAGACATATCATAGGTACAGTAGTGAGTTTACTTGTAAAGTGTAAGCAGTTTTATGCCAAAATACTATAATAAAAATATAATTTAATTATGATGATTATGATAATGATGATGATAACAATGATGATGATGATGATGATGGTGATGATAAGAATAATGATGAAGAGGAATGTGCATGATGATGAAGATAATGATGTTGATAAATGGTGTAATAATTATTTTGATGATATATTATACAAATACAATACAATTTGTATTCAATCCCACATGGGTAAAATCGATAAAAGAATCTGGATTACTGTACATACTGTAAAACCTTGAATTGAATCCCTGGGCTTCTTTTTTTGCAAACTTTAAATGGGCTTTTTTTTTTTTTAGACTACTTTTGGAAAGTAAAGAGGAGGGCTTCTTTTCAAAATGAATGCTGTAAATTTTGTGAATTTTTACTATGAAACAATAAATAAGACTACTGTAACATCAATCTGTATCATGTATTAAATTGGCATTAAATCACCATAACTGTATTAACCAAGCTTGTTTTCAATTTGGCCTTCTTTTCGAGGCTAATTTTGCAAACTAAAGAGGGGGTTTAATACAAGATGGGCTTCATCAAGGTTTTACGGTAGCTTGTTATGTTAAAAAAGTTTAAATACAATACAGTACAATCACACTCACAATTTTAATTTGTTATTGTTTAAAAAGCATGTTGATAACGATGACATTGATGATGATGACTGTGTGGATGATAAAGATAATAATAATAATAATAATATGTCGTTCTTATATAGCGCTTAATGCCTTAACAAAGCCTCTAAGCGCTTTTCACAAGATGAGAGGGATAAACTGCTCAGTCGGCTAAACTGGTGGTATCCAATGTGTGCGCTGAACCGTGGAGATCTTTAGGTCCTGGTCCAATTCCCATCCCTGCTCCTTGTGTTTCAGCTGGATGGCTGTAATACAAGTTAAGATAGCGCACCGTCTTTCAGATGAGACGTTTAAGTCGTTGGTCCTGTGTGCATTATGGCCCATGTGCATGTTAAAGAATGCAGTATACTCTTCAGAAAAGAGTAGGTATTGTCCCCCAATGTACTGCCCAATTCCCCACCAGAAGGACCTCACTTCGAACTTGTGGGTTACCCTGGGTGTCTTTCACACCGAAATACTCCTATTCTATCCTATGCTTATTATAGTATGATGATGATGGTGGTGGTGAGTATGATGATATTGATGATGTTGAATGCCTACAGAAAGGAGAGGCTACTGCAATGCTGTAGTTCAGCTGCACCAAACTGGATCAAAATCCAATGGAAACTGATGTGTATGGATGTAAATGATAAATGATGTTATTAACAATATGACTGAGAATGATGGGGATGATGAATGAGGAAAATGATGATGATGATGATTGCATTGTTGATTAAGTGTAGTGCTGTACTGTAGTGTTACTTTGTCCCTCAGATACCCCAAGTCTACTTTCCTATTTACTCAACAGTTTGATTTTCTTTCCAAGGAAGTTTAGGGTTGTTTCTGGGGCAGTCTTCCTGGATACATTCGCATCAGACAGAAAACACATGAAAGGACCAGATGGTTTATGGCTCAAACCACCTCCAATGTACCCATGTATATCAACTAAAGGTAATGTCAATGCAGTGTTATTTATATAGCTGCTTACACAAGGGTCTTCATACTATAGCCACTTAAATTTTTGTTTTTTATAAACAAAAGTAATTCCATCAATAATGTTGTTTTTTTTTATTGTAATATTGTTATTACTATTTTAGTCAATATTATTATTATTAATACTATGGATTATTATTTTGTTATTATTGTTGTCTTTGTTCTCACCACCACCTCTTCTGCACCGTTATTATTCTTTTAATGTCTTGACCGCGAATGTCAATAGTCCTCACTTTGGCGAAAAATTATATAATTTATTTATTCATTATCGGGGATCTAATCCAGAGATGTTCAAAAAGGAGGTGGGGTGAAAGTGGGGCTGATCGAGATAATGCTACCCTAGGGGCCAAGGGGCATTCCCCCGCAAAAGTTTTGTGCTCTAGACGCCCGAAATTAACCTCTGAGGCGTTTTTGGCGATCAATTTTTTCTTTTTCTTTCTTTTTTTTTTCTTTTTACCTTTTTTACCTTCCAAAAGGGCTGGCCCCGCCCTCTCCAAATCAAATCCACCCCTGATTTTTATGGTTGTTTTGGATTGGATTTCCCAAGGAAAGAATAACCCAAGAAAGCCTGAATAAGAATTTATTTCCAGCGGGGTCCTTCGGTGGTGATTGGGCAGTACACCGACAGACAATCCCTACAGTACTGTTTCCCGAAGAGTGTACTGCGTTCTTTAACATGGACATGGGCTGTAATGCACACAGGACCAACGGCTTAAATGTCTCATCTGAAAGACGGTGTGCTTACGTCACTTGCATTCAGCACTCCAGCAGAAATACAAGGAGAGTTACTAGTGATGAGAATTGAACTGGAGACTCAACGGTTCAGCGCACCCACAGTGGCCTCTGAGGCGTTTTTCAGTTTAACCGACAGAGCTAAATTGCTCTTGCTAAACTGGTTGTTGTTATGAAGATGCTTAGCAGCTTACTCTTAGTAACACTATTAAAACTGTGTAAGCAAAATTACTCACAGCATGTTACTGTATTATTGTTGTTACTATAATTTTCAAATTTTAATTCACATGGGCCAAGGATTGCCCAATAACAAATTATTCATCTAGTGAGTGTACGATATTTGTATCTTTCAGCTTCGAGTAACAATTTGGCGGACTTCATAACCATGGTCCCATCAGTAGGTGTGGGGGACGTCATCAACCTGAACACCTTGGTCCATAGATTTTCCAGTTGATGATCGTTAACAGTTCAGAATTAATTAAAAAATGAGCTTAGTAAATGTACTAATTATTTGAATAGGACTTGTCAAATGTTAATTTTATTATGAAAACAAGGTACAAAACTTTAAACCTGGATAGTGTTACTCAGAGTTTGGTTCCACCTGAATGATTGTTGTTTGGGTAGAATCTGTCGCTGATGACTAGATGGTTGTAAGAGCTTGAGTGGGACTAGTTGATGGCGGTGGATTTTGTCACCAGAGCCAGTAGATGCTCCTCAGCTTTTTTGGAATTACCAGGTTGACTGTTATGCAAGTCTCATTTCTTGCGGCTCTGAAAACTACATCGTAGACTATATTTAGCTGCGGATCCATCAGCAGATATTGGGATTCCTTCCAGTGAATGCTTAGTTTATTTTGTCATTCTGATCGGATTTTCTCTACTGTTCCGTTTTAATTTTAATTTTAAATTGTTTTGCATTATATGATGTTAGTGTTTTCTTGCACTCAACTAGAAATACCAGGATGGTGTCCGGCGGTGGATAGTTTTTACCATATTGTTGTTAAGTTATGTAGTTAAGCTTAACCTTGAGCGGTAATTCCTGGCCACGAAACCTTGGCTCAGAAGTACCGGGTTGGTGTCCGGCGGGGGATAGATTTCCACCAAAGTTTTTAATTGTTTATTTTATTGTACTGTGCTGGTTAATTTTTGTTATTATTGTACTGTGTTTTTACAGGACCATATTGTAAAACAGCGGTAAGATCTCGCCTGTAAAAGTTATCCTGCCTAAGGATGTTTTAAATAAAAAGAAAATAAATAAAATAAAAATAAAACTAGCGATGATGAAGAAAGAAATTAAACAACTTTAATATGAAATGTGCGTGTATCTTAATCTTAAATATCTGCTCAGTAAGGACCATTTATCTATCAGATGAGAATATTTTCTTATAAACACTATTAATTAAAACTAGTGTTAATACCATGTCAGACCTTTGTAAGGAATAGAAATGGATCGTCAATTTTTCTACCTTAATGAGGAACATTTGAAAGCTGTAAACATTGCAATTACAAATTTAAACATTTTTTCCTACACAAATTAGATAATTACATTTGTTATAGTACCAAATTGCAATAAAACCACTTGCTATCTAAAGCCTGTAGTTTAATCCCTGAAACAATTATGTAAATTTACTACAACACATAATGTACCACACGGTACAGTAGCATCTCTTACTTAAAATGTATCTAAATTGGTATCTTTACATGGTACAAGCGCCTTTAATCTTGATTTTATTTGGAATTTTAGACACGTAAGTTATATAAATTATTGATATTATTGCTATTATAAATATTATTAATATGTTATTGTACTAATTATTATTAAGTACTAATCAAATATAAATATTACCTTTTTATTCACACAATTAATTGTTATTACTATTTACAATTGTCACCTTTGCTACTTGAGGGAACATTTTAATATTAAAAGAAGGAGTTGTAGAGGTAGATCAGGAAGTACATAGATAGATGACTGTGAGTTGAATTGAATGACTAGGTTAGGAACAATGAGTACGACAAAGAGGAAGAGGATGGTGATGATGATGAGGACGATGATGATAAAGATGTAATGTTGATAATGATAATGGGATGACGATGATTTCGCGTTCAAACCACAAAACACACAGTCATTACGAACCATATATTTATGGCTGATGGTTATGATAAAATTACTCCTCCTATTAATAATTAAAATGTATGGAGTAATATCCCTTAAGCTTTGACATTATTGTATACAAAATTTCAGAAAGAACGCAGCAAATATTTCTGTTATCAAGGATTCGGTATTGTGTAGTTCTTCGGAACATCTGGAATAAAACTCTGGTATTTTGGGTTTCGATCTTCGTCGTTGTCGGGATCAGCTCGAATGCTATCACCGGCCAAATCAGAGTCTGCAGTACTTGGACTTGGAGTATCTAAACATGGAATACGGTGTAGAACAACAACATTAATTACAAATCCGACGACGTCACTCTAAAATTTGATTTAGTTTGAGTAATTTTAGAGTTTGCCGCTGTATCTATATGTAATATCCTGAAAGTTTATGATGAAGTCTTACCGATCTGAGACTCGAGCACTGTCGTCATAATGGAAGATAAACTGGTTTCCACGGTTCCCATTTGAGAAGATTCCGGTGGCGTAACGTCCAGGTCGACAACTGGTACCGTAGTTTTGGAAGTGGACACATTCTCTGTAAAAAAAAAAATTTTAAATGTGGGAATTTTATTATTTAGGCCTATACATCAGGAAAATTCGTTTTCCCAGTAATTTTTGTAATTTTATACCGTATTAAAAATAATTCAAATTTTCAATTATGGTACTAACTGTAGCTATATAAAAGCAACTTTATTTTCTTATATGTGTCTCACTGCAAGACGATAGCTATTATTCGAGTTACATTTTATTAAACTTTAATTATTCAATGTTAAATTAAATTGGTTTTTTTTTGGTTTGCTCACATGGAGTATGTTACAATAAATACAAATCGACAATTTAGACTAACCTATTGGAAAGGGTACGCATGCGCATATCGGGCAACCAATGTCATCTTCTTCGAATCGAGTTTTGCAACTTGCGATTGGGCATCGGTCAAGATTAGTACAGGCTGTGTTTAAGAGTAAAAACATTTACTTGTTACATTTTTGTCAGTAACGATATAATTAAAGAGCTTATAATTTATAATAATTATTAATGTTGGATAGCGACAATAAAATTAAGGTACTATTAGGCTATTGTGCATTTGTATTTCTATGTTTGTCTTGATACAGTATATAACATAGGCCTACACAGTATACTATATGTACAGTATATACAGTATCTTCTATAATACTCCATTATCAAGAAATGTTCTCCAATTTTATCAGAATGCTACATTATAGCAACATACTAATCAACTGAATTTCTGA